TTTATAGACGGGAGTCACCACAACACGAGGAATTATATTCAAGGGTCACAACATTAGGAAGGTTGAGAACAGCTGCTCGATGGCCTATGTCCTCGCCAGTCATTGGCTTTACCAGGTGTCTACTCTCAGGTCTACACCTTCTGTGGAGCAGGTCTCAAATCCAGTCAGCAAGTATCTGTGGGACTCTAGACATTTGGAGAGGAAACCTGTCTTCCTATGGTTTCCAGCAGCTGGAGCAGATTCTACCAGTAGGACACTAGAGATCAAGACATCTTCTTCTGTGTACTCACCCCAAGGAGACAAGTCAGTGATTGTATCCATGCCATGTGTTTCCTTTTACTATGAGCTGGTGCTTGACTTGTGCTTCTTCTCACATTTCGTTGGTTCTTCACCATTGAGGTTTACACCTGCTGCTTTCCTATGTACCTTAGGGCTCTCTAAGTGTGAGCTAGGCCACCCACTGCTCCTGTTCTGACTTTTCACCAGCCTCCTCCAGGGTATAACCAACCTCTCTTTTGTAAGAGCTGCTGTCATATACTGAGTGCCCAGGGCTTCCGGGACTTTGGGAGTGATTCTGGATTTTCATTAGAAGGCAGCAGGAAGCACAAAATTAGGTGTCTATGGATGAGAAGTGATATTTCTCACAGATGCTTTTTTGGATGTTTACCACATGACAGACACAGCTAATCACCTGACAGGAATTGTTCCACTTAATCCACTCATCAGCTGGAGCTGGTGCCATGAGCCCTGTTTCATAGCTGAAGAAACAGAGGCTTGGAGATGCTTACATTACCAGGCTGGGTTGTAAAAGTGAGAACCTGGGTCACATTTAATCAGGAAGTGATGAGTGAACACTGGGGTCTTTGACGAAGGGCTGCACCTGATTAGTGATGGGTATCAGGAAAAAAACCGGAATAGCAGAGAACGGGGGAGTTGGAGTAGGAACAGGTTTTCTAAGGCTCCAAGACTCAAGTGGAGGAAAAACTATGCAAGAGTAGCCTTGGTGGACATGCTGTGTAGGAGTGTAATAATTGAAGCAGCCACCGCCCATGACAAACCCACTAAGCCAGACATTTTCCATACACAGTCTCCTTTAATCCTCACTAAATGCAGAAAGCAAAGTCCAGTCCCTGTACCATGCCCTGGGAAATGGAGCCATCGTGAAGGGCTTACTGATGGCTGTAGAGCTGGCAAGCAGTGGTATTACAATTCAAATGGAGATAGCCGACGGTGCCTGTACACCCGGTTGGACTGATCCTCAAAGGAAAAGGTTGTTAGTTCCTTCCTCTCCCAGAACTTCCGAGGAAGCTCAGGCCTGCATGGAGTACCTAACATCTCTCAGAGAGGACAAAGAACCTAGTTTGGAATGAAATTGTTTTGCTGGACATTAGCAGTGTCAATCATGAGGTGATCCTGCCCTGGGGTTTCATCAGAAAGCAAGCAGTTCAGGGGAGGCCAGAGGCTCCATGAGGTAGCCGTGACTACATGAGCATCTCAGAACCACAAGCTTACCTTTGAAAACAATATGTATCATTATTCCTTTGTTGTCCCTTTCCCTTTTACATGTGTGTATCATGTTTGTGTGCAACAGGTATGTCCAGGGACAACAGGTGCATGCGCATCAGTGTACTATGAGTGTAGACACCAAAGGTTGGTATCAGGCATCCTGCTTGACTGCTTTTCACTTAAAGCTTGAGGCACGATCAAGATCAAGTGGAAGGGCACTTACTAACTCTGCAGCATGCTGATTAGGTTGGGCTGGTTGGCCTGTGAGTACCTGGTATCCATTTATCTCTACCTCCCTAGCATTGGGATTACAGACATGCCACCACACCCGACAGTTTTTATATAGGTACTAGGTACCAAGCTTATGTCCTCATGCTTGGGTGGCAGGCACTCTACCAACTAAGCTATCTCTCCAGCCCCTGTTTTCGTCTCTTAAGACTTTTTAATTTTTATTTTATATGCATAAGTGTTTTGTCTACTTGTACGCAGATGTACATGAGTGCCTGGTGCCCTTGGGGGTCAGGGAGAGGCACTGCCTAGAAACAGGATTTACAGTTGTGAGATGCCATGTGGATGCTGGGAACTGAGCCGATGTCCTGTGGAAGAACAGCCAATACTCATAACTGCTGAGCCATCTCTCCAGTCTTCCTTGCCCTTCTCCCCTTTAAAGAGCAGTATTCTTCCTCTCAGTGGTTCCCAAGAGTTAGCTGCATTAGTCTCATCTGAAGGACTGGTTAAAACAGGTTGCTGGACCTGACCCTGGAGTTTCCATTTTGTTGGTTCTGAGGAAAAGGCCTAAGAACTTGCATTTCTAAGAAGTTATCAGATGATGCTGATGCAGTCAGTCCCGGGGTCAAAATTTAAGAACAACTGCTTTAAAGTAAAGTTACTTGAAAACATTTCCTAACCTGATTTGGTATGCCAAGAAAAGTACACAAAAGGTAAGGACTTGCCTGTAGTCCAAAGTCTCAGTGGGTGAGTTTGTAGACTAACTGGCTAGCTTGGTGAGGGAGTACAGTGCAAGAACTCTGAAGACTGGAGGGACACACATCAGCCCAAGGGGACCTGGCTGCTGAGAACGACGTTAGCAAATGGTCATCGGTGAGCTGTGTTTGGAAGCCAGACATCAAACCAGAGCCAGAGATCTGCTGGGGCAGAAGTCAAACGGGGTACAGCTGTTATCAAAATCCACAGGCTGCTTGGCAGGCCTGAAAGGAAAAAGCTATAGACACTGGGGCAAGGAGCCAGACATGAGCTCCTAGGGTGTGGCTCTGTGACAGTGGTGATCACATTGCAGGGCGACTGTGTCTCCCAAATCCACTTTCTTGCTCTTGTGGTGGTGTCTGTCACTCAAACCATGCCTAAGAGCTTCCCTCTGGTAGAAGGGAGGTGAAGCTTTGGAGATGAGACCTAATGCTGTTTCCTTCCCTTTGTGATTGGTTCACAGCGTCAATCAAGGGCGGCAGTTTGACCTCTAATGTCTTCTCCCCTGCAGGCTGCATTTCTCAGCCATAGAAAATGACTCCTTTCCAGTGTTGAGATCTGCCCTCCGAGGCACCAGCCCTGGGTCACTGGTTGGATACCCGGCTTCTGTCACTTCTCCCCCATGTAATTGAGGGGGCTTGGATTGTAGAGTCCCTTCCCTCCTCTGAAGTACTGCATGCTAGCCTCCTTTCAGCTGGCAGGAGTGAAGTTGGGCATTCCTCGCCTTAAGTCCCAGGCTTTCGAGCATTGTTTGCTTAGCCCAAACTAAACCATGGTTTCCCTTTGTGTCTTTTATCACATTCCTTGCACTTCTGTTCAGGTAAGAAAGGGTCACATGGTGGCGGTGCATGCACTCCTTTAATCCCAGCACTTGGGAGGCAGAGGCAGAGGCAGGTGAATCTCTGTAATTTTGAAGCAAGACTGGTCTAGGAATCAAGTTCCAGAACAGCCAGGACTATATACCCCATCTCCAGGAAAAACAAAACTGGTCTATTGGGTGTACAGTGTGTGGCCTGACCTTTGCTCAGGACGGAATACAGGTATAGTAAAAGAAGATTTGGTCTTAAGAAACCACAGTGTAGTTGGAAAGACTCTGGTAGAAACATAAAACATTGAAGTATAATAAGATTCATCTAAAACAGTTCATGCCTCTTCAAGGCCTTGATTCTTAACTGTCCTTCTGACTAGATAGTCTTCCTCAGACTCATTTTCATAGAGCCCTTACCCAGGTCATTCCTGAGTAACGTCAGGACATTGAACCTTACCTCTTCTGAGTCTACTAACTCTGTGCAATTTATTTGTTTATTTCTTCCATTTATCTCATGCAATTTCCTCCTTTGTTAATTTTTTTCGTGTGTCTGCTTTGGGCGAGGATGTGTGGGCACACAAATTGGGGCAGCTGTGTGTCGGTGTGTGTCTGCAGTCGCTTGGCTTTTATGTGGGTACTAGGTTCTGGGTATACACTCTGGTCCTTACATGTACTTTATCCACTGATCTATCTCCCTCCTTCTTCCTGATTCTCTTACAAACTTTTCTTCTAACAGCCTCATGGATTCTTATTGTCATTTCCCACCTTAGGTTGTAAGCTCTTTGAGAACCAATCCTTTCTACTGAGGATTTGCGTAGAAGGGCAGAATCGGTGCTTAATGCTCATTCATACTCGTTTCCCTTTTATTCCACTAGGATGTGAACACCCAGATGAATTTTTCTTGAGTCACCTAAATGGAGATGAAGCCTGCCTCTCTGGAGAACCTTTTCAAGTCTTCTTCCCAAGCTCTCTGGTCTGCATTGCCAGCTCCGGCCGTCCTGAGCAGGTTCTAAGTTGCCGTCCCACTCTCATTTACTCCAAGTTCTGGGGAGTTCAAACACAGTATTTAAGCTGTACAGTCCTCGGTGAGGTCTGCATTCCTTCTTCTATTTCACAGATGTCACTGAATCACGGAGAAAGACTTGCTCACGAGGTAGCAAGGCACTAGTAGGGCAAAGTTGGCCAGGCATGTGGTCCCATACCCACGTTTCTGTAACTTCTTTCTACCCCTTGTCCGAGAATCCTTTCAGGTTTCCACCATGTCCCCTGAAGACCCTTCCCCACGTTTCTGAGACCTCTCCATCCTAGCATGTTTCTTCCAGGTGGATATCCGGGCTTGGCCTACCAAGGCTAAGTGGAGAGACGCTGCAGGTGATTGATGCTACTTGGGCAGAGCTAGCTCCCAGGCCCTCTGTACAGGCCTGGCTGCTGGGTGCCCGATGGCTCATTGCAAGGCCCACAGCGATGGCACAAGAAAAAGAATGCAAGGAAAGAAGCAGCTGCAGAAAGAAGGCACAGGAGGACAGGCAGCGCTCCATCCTCTCCGCCCGTGCGGGTGTCAGCACACGCATGCGCATGCGTTGCGCGCTCGCACCCCACCCTCCCGCGGGCCGCCCTTTCACCCTGGCAACCGAGGCTCGGCAGCGGCGCGCGCGCGGGTTGGGCGCGGACGGGCGGGATCTCTGCGGGACGGGACAGCGCGGACGGCGGCAGAGGTAGCGGGTCTCAAAGGCTCCTCCAGCTTCTCACTCAGCTCCGGTGACGGGTTAGGCCCAGAGGGCTTAGTCCCTCGCCATGGACTCGCAGAAAGTAAGCAGGGGGGCGCAGCGCCGGGGGGAGAGGGTGGGCGGGGCGCGCGGGGCTGGGCGGCGGAGGGCGAGGCCCGGCCTGAGTCCCACCCGACCCGACCCGACCGGACCTGGGTGCCCGCGGGGTGCGGTGGCCGCGCCCGGGATCCCGGACGACCTCTGTCATGCTCTTGACTCTGGGCAGGGACGGCCGGGAGGAAACCGCGAGCCGCACCCGGGTTCCTGTCGCCCTCTGCGGGCGCTAGGCCCCTTTCTTCCCGCTGCCCGCGGCGTGCTCCGAGGGTGGGTCCCTCCTCGGTTGGAGTGAGGACCAAGGCTCAGCCTCGCGTGTGGGGATCCCTGCCTGCGCAGAAGCTGGTGTCCTTTTCTTCCACCGTGTCTTCAGCACAGTCTCTGCTCTGTAGGTCCGGGGACCCAATCTCCTTTGTACCTCTGCCCACCGCCTTGCTAGTGGTTTATTTATAAGCAGATCTCAGTGTTTGCCTAATTGAAGAAAAAGGCAGTTGTCAGGGCCGCTGCCCCACCCTCGTGCTTCAGTTGGTGAGGCTGGTCAGTTACCCACTGGTCTTGTTTCGGAATGTTTAGTACTTTGGGAACAAGTTTAAGGAAAGAGCTACAGAGTAGCCTTTTTAATTAAGTAAAAATATAGCCAGTGTACTGAATACAATTGTAATTTAATTTTTAATATTCAGTAGTAATTCCCGTGTAGAAAAAAATAAGCCACCTTGCCATCTTTGTTATGTTATAGTGTAATTGCAATGCGTTCTGGTATAGGAAAGAAAAAAACAAGTGTTATTAATAATGCAGCAGGGAAAATAAGGGCATTTCTAAGATGCCATCCTTTTTTATTATTACATAGAAAGTGCCAGAAAGTCTTATAGAAAAACTGCAATTTTTACCTGGATTCATCTTCCTGAGGAGTGCTGGGGGTGTGGGGGTATGAGCAATGTGATGTGTTTAAGCATTTACTATTGTAATATTGTACAGAAATGCACAAGATTCCATTGTGTGTGCTTGTCTTGAAACCCATCTGGGTATATCTAATTATTATTTCCAGACCTATACTATAATATTTTTTGAAGATATTACTAGGATATCTAAGAAGTTTTGTGTATTTTGAGAATGTATACATTTAAAGCATTAATATTAGCTGTTAAGCTAATAAAACAATGCACAGCTTATTGGAAAAAAAGGCATGTGATATAAGTGGACATTAGCGAAGGTCAAAAGGAAGAGCAAGTGACTGGGAAATTCAGAAAGATAAGTTGCAGAGTACAATATGTTTGCTACCTGTATGTAGAGCACATCCGTCTTTTTCATCTTCTGTTCTGTATAAATAAGAAAAGAATATAGTTTTATAGAAACTGGATAAAATACTCCATTTGGAAAACAGTATTTTAAAGTTTATGAATAATTAGTACTAAAATAGTCCGTGCATGGTAAAATGCTAAACGTGTTTCAGCGTAGATCGTCTTACCGGGGGACACTGAGGAATCGGGTGTTTGACGTTTGAGTTCTCTAAGGACAAACAGGGTTTGAACCAGGTTGTTCTCATTTCAGACAATGTATTTGTGCACCCACAGGATACCATATGTAGTTTTCCCAGAGGTAGTGAAGAATTAGTTGTTCTTTTACTGGTGCTGATGTATCATATTGGAAAACTCTGAAAAATCAACTTGTCACTATTAAAACTTTGTTGGAGGTATCAAGCAATCTTTGTAGTGAAGAGAGCATGTGCTGTGGCATCCAGTGGATGCCAGTGCTTGTGATTAGCACTCCTGCTGTCCATCTGAGCTTCATTTTCTTACGATTTTCTGTGGAGGCAGCTACTTACTACAAATAGTAATGAACTAATTGGGTCATCTTGTTTATTACCTAAGACAGTAGTACACCCATAGCGTGAGATCTTGAGGCTATTTCCTGTTATAGAATGTTCACATTAAAATGGTATCAGAAATGATACCCAGGTCTATAAAGAAAGTACTTACATGCTGTAAATGGCAAGGAAGGCCTTGGGGTTTGGATTGTGAGTTATTAAGAGGACCTGGCTCTCTGGTCATACTGTTTATGGGCCATCATAGCTTGGATAATTTGCCATTAGTCTCCGTTTCTTCATCTATAAAACAGAAACAGCCACTGCAGTCTCTGAAAGAGTTATGAGGATTGTGTCCATTTCAGGAAAACCACCTAACGGTATTATCTGTGAACTCTTATTAATCACAGACATTCAACCTCAAAATCATGTTTTCCTTTTCAGATCCACTGTAGACTTCTTTAAGGTGTGTTTTCTACTTGTTTATCTTTAAGAAATTACTTCAGCTGGTAGTGCCAAGAGACAGTTGTTAAGTCCTAATACAAAGAGGATTGAGAGTTGTGAGTCAGGCAATCTATGATAAAGACATTAACTGGGCATCTTACAGAAGCTTGCTGGGCAGCACATGGGTCAGCTTCCCTAGCCACTGCTTTTTTTTTTTTTTTTTTTTTTTTTTTTGTCTGTGGAAATGACTTCAGTGTTTTGTAAGCAACAGATGCTCTATTTCAGTAGAGGAAGAAGACGAAGTTGCTGCGGGTGTGTAAGGCATACTGTCGTATACAGAAGCAGTATTATCTCCTAGAAATGGACAGAGGGATTTTGTTTATGTAGAGTTTCTGGGACACTTTTGTGAGCAGGGTGTGTTATGGATAGGTGGCTTTGTTTGATCCTCAGACCTTTTGAATATGTCCTTAAGTGGTTCTAAGATAAAATCTGGAAGGTTTCTTTACCTGATGAAATAAATGTGCACATTCAGAGAAAACACTGAAACAAATAAGACAGTTGTACCTCTTGGGTACTTCTTTTGAATTCAGTAGTGCAGGTTAAATTTTAGTGCAGCTCACTGGTATTCATAGGGGTTTCTGTTTCTAGGAAAGGTGCTTGTTACAGCAGTGGGGGTGGGAGGATGGGGCAGAGGAAGGATGCTGTTAGGAACATGCTTTGTTAAGTGCTTTCCCCATTGTTTTTATGAATGTTCTTCCTACCAGGGTAGGGACTCAGAGGTCTCCTTTATACTACAGGGTAAAGCTATACTGGGGACATGTGCGTTCATCTTATCTGTTTCCTCTTATTTCCTGATACTTGCTGTACAGTTAAAAGACTCACTCCATATCCAATTGGGTATCCATAGCTATCCAGTTCCTTAGTTACTTGTTTTCAATTTGAAAAAGAAAAAGTTTCTCAAGGAAAGTGAAGAGGTGTGGAAGTTGGGTATTGTACGTCCAGTACCGTGTCACACTACTTTGAACTCTCACAGCAAAATTTTCTCATAGTTCACAGAGTCACTCGGCTAGCAAGTGGCAATTTGGATTCAAACCAGGTTTTTTTTTTTTAATATTCCACACTTTTTCATTACTTCTCTTCAGGTCTGAATTTTTGGCTTCTAAATACTGAAACAATTAAGGTAATTAAAATTTAAAATATTCGGTTCCAACAGTTAGGAGCTGGAGAGATGGCTCAGCAGTTAACAGCACTTCCTGTTCTTGCAAGAGGACCAGAGTTTGATTCCAAGACCCATATCAGGTGACTCACAAGCACCTGCATGCATCTATGCCTCCCCCCGATATGCACATGATTAAAAAGAATATATATTTTTAAGACAAATAAAATGTTACTAGGAACAAACCCCAGTACAGTAGTCGGTTTGGATTGTTTGTTTTAGACACTTGTCAAGTGTAGTGAAGTATTGATAAGTGGTATAGAGTATAAGTTAGAGGAAAATCTGGCATCTGGTCTGTCTGGCATCTGAGCTGTAGACCCTGAAGTGCCGTATAAATGAATACCATATGAGAGCTCACGAACTCTTTACTCACATATAAGTATCTTTGTGTTTTTAATTGAACTTGGCAGTCTCTAAATATCAGTAATGAAGCAGGCTTCTTTTTAAAGTTTTAACACAATGCCTCTTTGCAATGCTTGGCTGAATGTCAACAGGATTATTCATGCAGCAAGCACATACTGGATGTTGGCTGTAGTGACGGATATTCCACACGGATCATCCTTTAAAGCAGGTGGATTTGCCAGCAGCCTTCACTGTGTTCTCACCTCAGCTGGTTATCCCAGCCTCAACATTCAGATATAATCACTGATGTTTGTTGACTGATAGAAATTTAATTTTGGCATATAATTATTTATTTTTTAAATATAATTTTTAGCATCACCAGTCTCCATACTTCTGTTAGATTATAATACAAGTTTTATTGCAGGAAATGTTAGTTATAAATAGATAAAATCACCTTTAATTCTGTACCTTGAAGATAACAACATTCAACATTTGATTTGCTGATCACCTTTTTATGCAAATAGAACCTTAAAAATTGGGTATCATATTACATGTATTGCTTTATAACTTGCCTTTACATAATATATCATGAGTATTCTTCCAATTTATCATCATTCTACAACATTTCATATCAAGTCAGCATAGTGTTTTCATATGAATGTGATTCTTGGATATATTTGATTGCTCTCCTTCTGTTAGATGTTTATGTTGGTACCAGATTTTAAGGTAGTTAATAATACTGAAAGAAACATTCTTGTAGCTAAGTCCCTGCCTCTGTTCTTAATAAGCTACTTGGCATATATTGGAGAAATGGAGTTACCAATTACTTAAAATTCTTGAGATGTATTACCCATTTGCCCTTCAAAAGGGCAGTAGGGGTCAGTGTTCCGATCCACAGTGCTTGAGCATCTCCATCCAGGTTCTCCTTTGGACTCCCTGACCCCTGGTTTGCTTGTTAGGTAAGTGATTTGTTGTTGATGGTGGTGGTGGTGGGGTTTTGTTTTGTTTGCCAGTAGGGATGTTACTGCTTTACTCAGGTAGACTTGTGGAGCGTAAGAACTTAGTCGGCTCTAAGCCTGGGACCTTGAATGCCTAAGGCTTATATAGGACAGTCAGACTCAGGGGCTTATAGCTCCAAGTCTTGAAAACTAGAGCTTTATAGCCCTAGGCCTTAGGAGCCAGAGCC